AGAAGTTTACCACTGTAACTGTCAAACGTGGGGCTTTTAGAGCCCTGTTGGGTGTGATTCTTACAGCAGTGTGCTGTCCTTGTTCACCCGGCAGGGGCTGGCGGGGCACGGTGGTTTGCTGCAATCTCAGGTGGACCCAGGGCGCAATGCAGAATTTTAGAACTGCCTTCATCATTTTTCCATCTTCCCTTGCTGTCCAGGCTGTTCCCTGGGCCCAGAAGCGGAGCTCACAGCTGTGTGCAGGCTTGGGATGCAGGGCGGGCTGGGAGCCTTCCCGGGCCTGGGAGCAGTTAGCTTGCCCTCCCGCCTCACGCTGTCGCCCAGCTGCTCATCCTAGGACCCAGTGAGGGAGGGGCCCGCTGAGAGCCTGACCAGGCCGACTTCATCCCTGGGACACCAGGGAGCTTGGAAGCATTTTCTGTGGACAGTGCAGCTGCTTTATGCCCAGGTTTCCATGCTCCCCTCGCCTGTCCCAGAGCTGTCCATCCATCCCATGCATCCTGGGACTTCCCCTTGCCTTTTGGGTTCATTTTCCTCAGTTGTCCTTGTGTTGTTGGGGGCACTGTTCCTGAGAGTTGTTTTAATTGCTTTGCAAAACGCTCTTGAGTCTTGATTTCCTGCCAGTCTGCAAGTAGTGAGTGTCCTTGACACGCTGGCCAGGTGCCTGGGACGTTGGAACCACAGAAATGGGGCTGGCATTCAGGGACCCCAGGGGACACCCTGGTTCTCCACGGGTCCCTCCTCCCTGCAGACCAGGTTCACAGCCCCCTCCTCAGCTGCAGCCTTGCCCCACGGCAGTGGCTCCTGAGACCATGTTCCTGCCAAGCTGTGCACCTTTGTCCCCTCCCCACCCTCGGTGAGGGACAGCATCCTACTGCCCCCCCCCCCAGATGAGGACCTGGGATGCTCTGAGAACTGATCCAGGATAATGCACAGGATCCTGGCCCTCCCGGGCCTGTCCCCAGGACTTTGGCTCTCATAGCACACAGGGTGTCATCTCCGCGTGTTTAACCAGAGGCTCAGACGCACAAGTACAGGTGTAACTGTGGAAGGAGCTTGAAAAGGAGAGAGAGAGAAGAACGGCCCTGTGTGCTTGATCCTGTGGCTGGGTTAGAAGGTGGAGTTTGCATCTTTCTGGGGAGAGCGGGAGGGTCGGAGGCTCTGGGGGCCCTGTGCCCAGGTGTGCCATCCCTGTGAGGCTGTGGTTGCAGACCTTGAGGCCCCCTTCCGTGCAGGGCCTGACTCCTGCCCTGGGAGGGTCTTCGTCTGCCCAGCCGCTCCACGGACCTCTGTCCGCATGGCACAGCTGGTCAGGGACCGGCATGTTCCCTGGAGGCAGTGATGGTTGTCACGGCACCTCTGAGTCACGGGAGCTGGATAGACGTGGCCGTCCTGCTCCCGAACCTCAGGGAGCTGAGCTCTGTGACCTGGGCCCCCGGCCCCGAGCAGGCCTGAGGACGTGTTCAGCTGCAGAACCGAAACTGTTTCTCCCGGTCCCGTGGGCCCAGGGAGCTGCTGCCGGCTTTGTAGGTTGTCGTTGAGCCTTGGAGGTCTTGGTCCCAGGTCGGGTGCATTTGGCCGTCTGTCCTGCTCTCTGAGCACAGGGTCTCAGGCGGCCACTGTGTGGGATGCGGTCCCCTCCCCCAGGGTGTGGGCTGTGTCTCCTGATGGAGGGGAGCAGGAAGGAGAAGGAAATGAACAAACAGTACTTTAGCGGGCTGCAGGGGGGCAAGTGTGTTCAGAGCTCAGGCACAAACTCCGCGCTTGCGGTCAGGTGATGGCAGCCAAGTGACCCGGCCCCTGCAGGCCATGACTTTCTGACCTGCACACAGGCAGCCATGCGGTGAAGTTGATCATGCGAAGTCTGACCAGGGATCAGGGCCTTGTTTTTCATACCTCTTCCTTCCTAACGGCCTACTCTCGGGGCCACCTGGACGCTGGGGACAGGCCAGTGCTGCCCTCTAGGGGTCACCTTGGCCTGAGCGCTCCCTGATGTGCCTCGGTCTCCTTGCTGAGGACAGTGAGACCAGCCAGCTCCACAGGCTGTCGGTGTCAGGCGGGGCCCGGCAGGGTGCAGCCACCTGTCGTCCCTCACACTCCATCCTGGACATTGGGTCGCAGCTGCAGATACCGCTGGCTCCTCTCGATGCCCTGCAGCACCTGGAGCGCTCCTCCCAGCTCACACGACCCTGCGGGCCGGCAGAGGGCACACAGAGCTATAAGCTTCAGGGCAGTGATTACCAGGCTTGGCCACCTGCCCAGTGTCACCGCTGCCTCAGGGGGGCTTCTCCATGCCAGGCCCTTGTGCCTGTTGTTTTTAGAAAAAAAACACTTTGATTTGGCCCATTTTATACCTGAGAGGCCACCCCGCTTCTTCCAGTTGGAGGAAAGGACTGGTCCATGCTGGCAGCCATGCAGGGGATGTGACAGATGTGAAGGTTTGCATTTTAAACATGTAGAACAGCGAGACCCCACCTTGCCTTAAACATACTTGTCCTGTTATTCTTGTCACTTTCTGAAGCAGTTCTGGAGTCCTCTTTCCTGAGTGTCTTTATGACATGTGATCAAAAACACAATTGGGGCTGGGGATTTAGCTCAGTGGTTCCACCACCTGCCTTGCAAGCAGAAGGTCCCGAGTTCGATCCCTAGTACCCCAAAAAACAAACAAAAAACCCTGAATGCTGCTGCTGAGTGCCATCCAACAGAAAGGCAGCTCTTAAACACATGATACTGTGTCTGCATCCACCTTATTCGCCAGATCTGGCACTGTGTGACTTCCGGCTCCTCCAAGCCAAAATGACCATGAAGGGTCAAAGATTTGAATCCATTCAGGACATCGAGGCAGCAATAAAAGACCTCACCACAGAGGACTTCTAGCATTGCTTCAGAAAGCAGCAAGAATGACGGCATAAATATGTTCAAAGAAAGGAGGATCTTGAGATGGATCGATGGTATTGTGTCTTTTACCATAATAAAATTTTGGGGGCCGGGGATTTAGCTCAGTGGTTTCGCTGCCTGCTGCACACGCGCAAGGACCCAAGTTTGATCCCCGGTTCCAAAAAAAAAAAAAAATTTAGCATTCACCATGTTTTTGATCCCCCCCCATTTGCAACAGCAGCCAGAGATGGGCTGCCTCATGGGACAGCTTGGGAGTTTCTGGGCTGCTGTTGAGCCCTGGCTGGCTGACAGGGAGCAGCTGGGGGAACGAGCTGCTTTGCTGGGCAACCGCACAGTGGCCCCTGAAGCCAGCTCATCTGGGGACTTGGAAGCTGGGGGGAGTGATGCCATCAGGGCACAAAAGTGTGGGACTGTGGGTGGGGGAGTGGGCCTGCTGGGCCATGCGGGGACCCACAGGCGTCCTCCAGGTGAGTGGCCGTCACGTGTGCCCGGCCCGGAAGGGGAGAGCAGCGCTCAAGGACAGCCTGGGGCTGGGAGGCTGCGGACCATGGCAGCCTGCTGCAGACGGTCACGGTGGGGACACAGGTGGCCGGAGGGCAGCTGTCTCCCTCCAGAGACAGCCTGGCAGCTGCCGCCTGTATCCCAGTTGCAGTGTCCGGGGTCACTCTTCAGTAGAACGTGGAGGCTCACGTCACCGGAGGGGAAAGGCCACCTGGACCCCGCCTTTGGAACTCAGGGCTCCACACTGGGCCAGAGTAGCAGGGCCTGCGTGTGTTTGGCCCTCTGTGTTCGGCTCCGCTCTCCCTGTTCCGTTCAGAAGCCACAAGTGGTGTTTCCGGTGCAGCAGGGCAGGGTGGGTCTCGCAGGAGCCAAAGCTCGGCTGCAGGCGCTCTGGCGACTCCTCTCGCCTCCCACAGTCCGCTGGGTCTGTGCGTCGGCAGCCTCCCCCGCGTGCTGTCTCCTCACCATCATCGGGCACCAGGCTTGCCGGGACCCGTGACGGCGACACTGCACCAAGCCGCGGGGAGGGGACACAGCTCCACGCTGTGGGTCACCGTCCCCGGGGACAGCACTGTGTCCGCCAGAACTCCCCACCCATGCTGCGTACTCTCTGTGGGATCTCGTGTTCCTCTCTCCACTCACTAATGAAAGTGTAAAGCAGCCTGCTGGGATTCAGAAGATCCTAAGAGGAAACCTGTGCTCCTGACAAGGGCACCCCATATCGGAGCCCGCAGAGGGGCCCCGGGAGGCTGCTTGGGTCCCGGGTGGGAAGGACAGCACCGTGCCCGCTCCTTTGTCTCTTCCTTTTCAGACATCCTTTGTTTTCCTTATTTTCTTGTCCCAGTGCTGGGGATCGAGTACTTCTTGTTAAGCATGTCGTTTTTCTTTTTTTTTGGTACTGGGGATCGAACTTAGGTCCTTGAGCTTGTGGGGCAGGCGACGGAACCACTGAGCTAAATCCCCAGTCCTTGGGTTTTTTTGAAAACCATTCTCATCCCCAGTATCTAACAACAGTCACTTCATTTGCTGAGGGTCCCTTCCAAGGTCACCTTGTTGGAGGAAAAGAAAAGCCATGAGGACCAGAAGCTCTTCCGTGAGAGTGAAGGCCTCTACCTGGGGGTGTGAGCAGGTGGACGGAGCACAGCTGCTGGGGTGGCGGTCACCGTGCAGGTGGCGATGTGCTGGGCAGCTTCAGCAGGGTCCACTGCGGTGCAGAGCCGGACACTGGCTCCCCACAGCAGACCAGAGCCGCCCCACACCTCAGCACGGCAGCCCTTTCCTCCCGTGTCCAGCTCCTGTTTGGCCACTGCTTGCAGCTGTTTTGCACACAGATTTGCTGTTTTGACCGTGACCCACAGCGTAGTGCGCCCCGTGTCCAACACTGTACGTGCATAGGCTCGCAGCCAGAGCAAGCACAGCCGCTCCTCACGCTCGTGACAGCAGTGATGTGTGCCAGAGAGTGGGCCTCAATGGTGCGACCCACTCCAGCCAGCATCAGGCCTCAGCCATCAGCCTCCAATCATTCATGGTTGGCACAGTGGGAAGTCATCTGGAAAAGGCCGGGCAGACCCTCTAACGCCTCTCCTTTGTTCCTTCTTGAGGTGGCAAACGCAGCTCATTCCCAACGTGCAAAGCCAAGGCAGCGACCCCCGGACCTCTGCTGGAGATGGAAGCTTGCTGAAACCTAGACTGTCTCTACGGCTTCCCCAGGTGACCCCGGAGTGTGGACACCAGCCTGCCCCCAGGTCCCTGCTAGAGACAGCTCCATGGAGACAATCACTGCCACCCCTCGGTGACTGCCGCAGCCGAGGTCCAGAAGAAAGCATCAAAATGGTTGTTTTTTTAAAAAGGAAGTTGCAAAGCCCAGGAGAGTGCCCACAGGCCCCGGCCAGCCAGAAGCTTCCCTCCCGTCCCTGGTGCACTTTGAAGCACCTGACGCCCCAGTGCCCCAGGCAAGGACAGAACCTCGGCTGCCTTTGCCTGCCAGGCAACCGGAGCCAGCAGCCAGTGAGTCCATCCATCCATCCGTCTGTTGGTCACACCCCAGCGGAGGAATTCGTGGGAGCGATCCCTGTTTCTGTCTTCGTTTTTCCTTTCTCCTAATGCTTTTATTTAACAGTGCAAAACTTTGATTGATTTTATGTTCACTTGTTTTTTTTTAAACTTGAATTTTAAAAAATTTTACACTTTTTAGTTTTAATTTTCTTGTTGTATATTTTGCTAGCTATGAGCTTTTAAATAAAATTCAGAGGAAAGGTCGGGAAAGGTTTGAAATAAAAACAGATGAACAGAAGTCTTCTCTCTCTGAGAGATCTTGTCCCAGAAGCAGCTTCTCTGGCAGCTGCCTATCCCAGACGGCAGCCTCTGTCCTTGTGGTGTCCTCCTCCAGAGCCACGAAAACGTGACAGCCCAGACTACTGTGGGCAGCGGTGGGCACTCCTATTTCACTTAGTTTCTCTTGAGTTTTTTTTTCCTTTTTAAAATGGTAACTGCACATACTTCAGACTGGTTTGCAGTGACTTCATTTCTCTTTTTCACTCCCTTGTAAAAAGCCCAGCACTTGGATTGTTACTTTCAATGTTCTGTATTTGTATCTGTTTCATTAGGCAGTTAGTGGGATTTTATGCCAGTTGTTAAAATGAGCATTGATGTACCCATTTTTTTAAATACCAAGGCGCAGCCTTTGCCCCCAACTGTTATCTAACCTTTGTCATTCCAGTTTGAGTTAACGTGCTGAGGATTTTTTAAAAGAAGCTTTGTAATAAAACATTTTTGAAAAGAAATGTCCCTTTATTAAGAGTGAAGTCCTGGGCCAAGGATTTAGCTCAGTGGTTTCGCCACCTGCTGTGCAAACGCAAGGACCCGAGTTCGATCCCCAGTACCAAAAAAAACAAAAACAAAGAGTGAAGTCCTGATGGCTCTGGGGTTGCTAAGAGCGAGTCCAAGGCTGGCACCTGCCTGGGGTGCAGGGGGCACCTTCCAGTCCCCAGGGCCGGCACCTCTGCCCGGTGTGGACAGACGCAGGGCCAGGGAGAGAACAATGCAGTTGGCAGTCTGTCCCTTCCTTCCCGAGTTCCCTGCACGGTTCCGTGGCACCCCAGACCCTGGGTCCACTGGCATGGAACCACTTTCCCTCCTGCCTTGTAACTGTCATCTCACTGTAAGCATTTGTGTGTAAGCTGGTGTCTGCCGCAGCAAGAACTACACTTTCAGACTGCGGCATATGTCTTCCACAACCGTCTTCCATCCCAAAGCCATGCTGAGAAGCGCTGATGTCACCAGTCTCTCACCCCTCCCTGGAATCGTTACCCTCTTTCAGCCCCAGCGCAGCTGGAGAACAGCTGGCTACCATGCTTGTAATAACCGTCCGCATACTGCACTTGAAGATTGCCATTAAATCACCCCTTGGATTTCTCGTCTCCAGGCTAAGTAATCCCAATTCCTTGACCCTTTCATCATCAGCCCTTTAATCATTTTCATTACTGCCCTCTGGAAATGCTCCAGTTCCTCTTCATTTAGTCCTAAACTTGAACCGGGAAAATAAAAGTCTTATGTTCAGAGGACCTACTTTTGTAAAGGTTTCATATTTAGGCCTTGCCCAAACTTCATCTGAAAACTTGCTCAGATTTCTTCATGTCCGTGAACCAGGTACATTGGGCATTGAGCTGCTGCTGTAATCTTTTGAGGAGTTAACAAGAAAATCCAGCGAAGACAGTGTAGGAGGTGACACTAGAGCGTTACTTTCTGAGAGGGAAAAATGGTATTCTGGGTCTTGCAAGTAATTAATAAAAACCGCAACCCAGCCCCTCGGTGGTGTCTCCGCTGCGTTTTATGGCGCACAGAAGAATGAATAAGCGGCAGTGAAAATGGATGGTTTGGCCCTTCCAAGCCAAGCTGCCCCCATCTTTGCCCCCTCCTGCTTTATTTCTTCCTGAATGATTTTCCCAAGTGGCTCTGACAACATGGTCTGCAGTGCTGGGGAAGCATGGGGAGCCCAGGCATGGCCCCAAGGGGACGTCTGTGCCCAGCGGGTCTCTTCTGGCCACTGCTCACGGGTGATCTCGAAGAGACCTGACCCACTGCACACAGAGCTGTGCAGGATGAGGCCGTGCAGCTTCCTGCTGGAGCGGCACCTCCCCAGGCCTTGGTGGGGAGTTCCCCAGGCGCTACTGTTGCTGGGAGCTACCTGCTTGCTACACCTCGGCCAAAGGCTGCAGAATACGGAAACCTCTAAGAAAGGCCATGAGCAGTACCAAGGCATCCCTGGCTTTCCTTCCAAAGAAAAGTCATGGGAGATTAACACACGGTTCCGACAGGAGAGAAGCTTTGATTCCACCTGGCGGCAGCTGTTTCCCACCACAGAAAGAACCCACACCATCTATGGGATTAAGAATCGGTAGAATTCGGAACCCACGTGTTTTCTTCCATGCACAGAAACCTTGGGATTGAACGTGAGACCCCCACCTGTGAGTGTTTCAGCTGCGTTGGGACAGAGACTAAAACTCAGCTACAAAAAGAAGGGTGTGGCTCTGAACATCACAGACGCTGACAAAAAGGATGATTGATTTTCTTGGCTGTCATTCTGACGCTGCTCTTCTAAACTCCTGTGATCCTGTAGCGGAGAGACTTCCTTACCTTGCTCTGTAGCCGGGAGCTGCTCGGAGCGGGAGAGGGGCGGCATGATGTCAGGTGCAGCTACTGCCAATGAACACCGTTCACACGAATCAGGGAAACGCCACACACAGTAGGTAATGTACAGTAACTTAGGGTTAACCTTGAGAGTTCAGGTGAAAATCGACTATTTCTCTTTATTGAAGAAAAATGCTAATCATGCTTATCACCAACACCGTTGTGAGTCACAGCCTCCTGGTATCAGAAAGACTCGATTCAGTGCACGCTCCCTGAGCGCGTGGGCCCTGCCCAGAGAACTGCGCACCAGGAAGCGCTTTTCCAACATCAGATTGTTCACTGTCTGCTCCTGGTGTGCACTGTGTCCCTGTCCCTGGCTGGAGTTAGGACGCCACAAGCCCTGCGTTAGAAGCAGGTGCCCTGGGGAAAGCCCAGGTTTGCAGTTGGAGGCCTGCACAAAATCCACCCTGACCACTGCTGGGCCCGCGCATGGACCCCCAGAGTCATTTCCTTGGGGCTAAATGTCACCTCTACAAATGCATGGGGCCGGGGGTGACACCCGGCAGACGGAAACGGGCTAGTGAGATTTCGTTTCATAATTTGTTAGAAAATGTGTGTTGTCGGTCCATTGTGAAAATATCTTGTTTCTGTTCTGCCTGTAGCTGTAGAACATCAAATGTATTTCTCCGGCCCAGAGCAGCCGGTGTAACCAGGTCTGGCCAACCAGTTTGGACTCAAATCCAGAGGGACAGCGTGGGATGCACTCAGTCATTGACAGTGGTGTGTTCGTTAAACGTCTGTCTTCACCTCTGGGAGCTGAGATGTTACCAGCCAAGTTAATTAGCCAGTGCTACCCTCATTAAGTATTCGGGGAAAATGGGCAGAGCACAGCATGCAACCGCAAGGCGTAGTCAGCGGGTCAGATCTCCTCTCCATCCTTAACCTGTCTCAAAGGTGGAGCTTAGCAGAATCCACGAATTACACTGCCACGGTCTCGTCTCCCATCAGCAAGACACACGAAGTGACCAAGGGGACAGAGCGCACGCCGGCCTGGCGGCGGGTGGTGACATTTTCCATCAGAGCCTGCCCTGGGGACACCGTCATCACCGCAAAATGAGGGTCTACCAGGCCCAGAGGATCCCTGAATGTCATCTTGTCCCGTGCCACACGCTAGCCCTGGGCGGGGCGGTGCCCTCCACCTTCTCGGGCCTCACGAGCTGGGCCGTCCTTCCCTCAGCGGCTGGTCCTAGAGGCTCACGCCAGCCTCCAGAGCCACTTTCCTTGCCTGTGCTTTCGCAGTCCATTAGACACACGGCCACTGTGACTCAAATTTGCTTAGAAGCTTGTGCTGCACTCCCGCCGCCCTTCCGCCCTGCCACAGTGCCTCAGACTGGACGATGAGATCTTCAGGCAGCAGGGAGAGGGGCATCGGGTGTCACCAGGAGCCCTGGGGTGCAGAGACTGAGGGAGACGGGAGGAGCTGCAAAGTGCAAGGCACTGCTGGGTTCAGGGCACAGGCTGTCATCCCAGCTCGCCACGGGGCTGAGGAAGGAGGAGCAGAAGCTCGAGGCCAGCCGCGTGGTGAGACACTCTCTCCAAGAAGGTGCAGATGCGGCTCAGCACCCGCGCATCTGCCAGCAAGGCCCTGGGTCCCATCCCTGACACTGCAGAAATAAACACTGCAGTCCCCTTGGTGAGATGTGCTTCCTTCACGTGGCCTCTGCATTTGGGACGAGCTGATTTTAAGGCAGGCCTCAAAGTTCTCCTAGCAAACACAGCTCCTAACATGTGCATGCACACACACCAGACTTAAGAAGCGAGGGCGCGCACCAGGAAAAAGGAAAATCAGGCCATAAATTTCAATACTCTGCCCTTAGGTTGGCAAGGACACGGTGCAGACTGCAGGGCCCACCGTGAGCCGATGCTGGAAGGCAAGCAGCTGCCGCAGGCGGGGCCACTCGTGGGAGCTCAACCCTGTGCCCACCGTGTGGACTCGGATCTTGAGCTGGCTTTGCCGCTCCACCTGCCTCAGTCCTCCGCACCCTCCCTGCAGCTTCACTGTGAGGCTCAAGGGCCCTGGGAGGCACCCTGGCAGAAGCGTAACAGTGTGACCAAAGACTACTGCGACAATTCAACACTCTGAATTGATCACAAAAAAGCCCTACTGCCGTGAGCCCCTCACCGCCCCGTGGCTCCCCCACTCTCGGCAGTGTCTTGACAGGAAGGTGTGCAAACATGAGCCGCATCTCCCAGTCCCCTCAGACGCCCGACCTCACCCCATGAGGCACCTGGAGTTGGGCCCCCGGACGTCCCCAAGCCTGCCACCTGCGCTGGGGCCCTCAGGCGAGCAGAGGCCAAGGGCTGCCCTCAGCTGTGCCCTGCTGCCGCCTCTGCCGACTGTGTCAGGTAGGAGGTCCCAGGAGGCACCTGCAGAATGGCGTGGACAGGAGCCAGAGTCCTGCTGGGGCCGGAGACCAACGTCTGCCCTGCCCTTTGGCAAACAACTGCTTCAGTCGGGGCGCACGTTTCAGACCCACGGCGGTCCTGCTGTTGCGGGCCCCAGGGGCAGCCCCCACAGTCCTGTCCCCAGGCACCCTGCGCAGCCCATGTGTCCAGAAACACATTCCCCCGGGGCCAATCCAGCCTCCTCCCGTCAGGTACCGCCACCTCCTGTGAGCACACCAGGTGTGAAAACATGAGTGTCACACAACATCTACCACAGAAAAACAGACATGTCTTATCCAAAAGGGAAGAGACCAGGAGATGGAGGAAGACAAAAGGAAGATGTGTTCTGTACATTACCAGCTCCCCACGAGGAATGCAGCCATGTGTGCAAACACGGGCCAATGAAAAGAAAAATATTTATTGCGGTAAGATACACTGCCATGAACCCCCTCAAAAGCCTCCCCCTGCTTCAAACACACTCATCCCATCGGCCTGGCCACTTCCTGCAGCAGCTCTGCAGTCCTCTTTCCTGAGGGTCTTTAGTTGTGCTGTCCTGGCTGCCCTGATGTCCTGAATCCACTCAAAGTGTTTCCCTTCGAGGTCATTCTGACTCTGGGGAGGCGCCAGTCACACAGAGCCAGGTCTGGTGACAGGTGGGTGAGGACACGGCATCACGTTTGTGCGACCTGCCTTTCTGCTGCTGTCACTGGCAGCACCACTCACCAGATTTTTGGTCACGCCTCATAAAGACACTGAGGAGAGGACTCCGGAGCTGCTGCAGAAAGTGGCCAGGACCGTGGGAGGTGTGTGAAGTGAGGGAGCAGTGGAGCTCCTGTCCGTGGGCCTTTCCCTGTAGTGGTTTTGTTTTACAATTGCTAACACTGTCTTTTTCAGTCACCCTGGTCCATGGGGAGACTCCCAAGACGGCCCTGGGGAGCAGGCTTTTCCCTGGGTGGAAGACCCGTGCCTACTGCTGCTCACACCTAACACACAGCTTCCTGTTTTGTTTTTTTCACTGTTTAAGAAATTTTTGTTAAAGCAAGAACTTTATAATCCAAATTACATTTCCTTGCTCAGTTATCAATTCTGTTAGTTGAAACAGAACTGACATCCTGAGCTATTCCACAGTAAAGAATTACAAAATTAAGAAAGGAGGGTCGGGGATTTAGCTCAGTGGTTTCGCTGCCTGCTTCGCAAGCACAAGGACCTGAGTTCGATCCTCGGTATCAAAAAAAAAAAATTAAGAAAGGAATGCTTGGGCCGGGTATTTAGCTCAGCGGTTCTGCCACCTGCCTTGCAATCGGAAGGTCCTGAGTTCCATCCCTGGTACCAACAAAAAAATAGAGTGGCTTAAATTTTTGTACTTTGCTGAAAATTCTTTTCTAGGGTCTATAAAACATTAATTTGTTTTTATATTTTACTATTTTTTTGTTTTTAAATCAAGTAATCTAGGTCTAGCATTGTTTGCTAGACCTGGCATTTGCTCAGTACATAAGGTTCAAAGTTTCCTTTCCTTTTGTATTTTATATTTTGCAACAGTTTTTTTCATATTTAAAGCTCTTCAATGTTGAGCAATTTTTCTTTGGTGAAGCACCAGTTTCTTTTCATGGCACGAGTCCAGTCCCTCCTTGCCCAAGGTCCGCTCGCTGCAGGGTAACTTACGCTGCGGCCCGTGCAGCCCTGCAGGCCCTGCCCACTCACCACCTGGCCTCCTGGAGCCACTAGCCGGAGCTGCAGCACCGCCTGCCCCTCACCCCGCAGCAGCTCCGCCAGGCCCTGCCTCTCGCAGCTGAGCTTCCCTGAGCTTCCCTCTGCCACTGCGAAGTGTTCCTAGAAAGCACTGCTGAAATGCACATCAAAACCGCAACAGGAACATGGAGACCGATGTAAAACTCACGACCGGGGCTCTTCAGCTCTGAGTAGAGTGGTGACACCACTGCCTGAAGCATCTTTACATCAGCCCTGTAACGGTGACCGGCACTCGGGCTCCAGGAGACAGCAAGCAGGGGACAGTCGGGTGGACAGTCACAGCCCGTGTCCAGGGTGCGGCTCAGACGACACCCGCCGACTGCGCGCTGTCCTTCCTGTCCTGGACGTGCACTCCCAGGGTCACGTGAAGGCGGCGACTCCTCCTGAGGAGCCTGTGAATGGGACCTGCGGACCCCAGAGACCCTGTACCCCACAGCCGCCTTCCGGGCAGCCCACTCTCCTGAGAATTACAGGCCTGGGCTTGAGTTTTTCCACAAGTCATTTCATAAACTTTGGTTTTCTTTTTATTTCAGTTTTCACTTCTATGACAGGGATATAAGGAAGCCGAGGAAGAAGAAAAATGCGCCTTTTGACAGACAGCAGGGCTTCCTCCTGCCTCAGCAGGAGGGAGGCCAGGCCCAAGCTCCGCCGACTAGTCCTCCTCGGGCGGGCGGCCGGCGCAGGCAGCAGGGGGTCCGGGACTGGACCCGGGGCCTGCACTCTGAGCTGCACCCCGCTTTGTCACCCTGAGACAGACCCTCATGACGTGGCCGACCTTGTGATCCTCCTGCCTGGGCCCACATTCAAATACTTTTTAAAACTCAAGAGTCCTTTTCATCCATCATGAAATGAATTTTTAAACAAAACAGTCATTAGAAATCTAACCCTGGACACCAGACTAGGAACGCACTTGGGGAAGACCTGTCTGAAGGCTTCGATTTGAGACTCTGCGCCTGCCCTGTGGTGTCGAATCTCACCCTCGGGGCCAGGTCTGCTCTGCCTCAGGCAGGGTCAGGGTCTGGGCCTGGGAGTCGCAAGGCCTGTGGGGGGGGCCCAGCCGGTGGCCAAAGCAGCTCAGGTTACTTGTTACTTACTCCACCTTGCAGGCACAGGGAAACAGATGTCCTCATGCTGCCTCCGCCCTGTCACCCTCTGCCCACTGAGAGCCTCAGCCTTTGCACTTGAAATCACAGGTGTTTATTTCATTCAAAGTTTCGCAGACTGAAAGATTCATTCACCGGAATCAGGAGAGGTGTGCAGCACTGTTATCTCAGGGACAGAGCAGGAGAAGACTGGAGAGGGGCCTGGCGCTTCCCCCGCCGAGGCTGCTGATGGCCGGGATCCCCACCGAGCAGGTGTCTCCAGGCCCGGTGGGGCCAGGCAGTGCTTACAGGGAGGGGACAAGCGGCCCAGAGACTCGCCTGCCAAGGCACCAGGTATGAAGCTCTAGAGACACGCAGAGGCACAGACTACACGGACCGGCCTCGGTGCAGGGACCCAGGAGCCGGGCCGCGGGGCGGCAACACCATGCACACTGTGCCATCAGCTAGGCGAGCCCTGGCCGCGCCCCTTGCTCCGGCTGGCTGCAGGCCTGACGCGGTTCCGGGGCCTGCGAGGTCACTTGTACTTGTAGAAACCCTCCCCGGACTTCTTGCCCAGCTTCTTGTCCTCCACCAGCTTGCTCAGGGTGGGGCTGGGCTGGAACAGCGGGTTCTCCGCATCCATGTCGTGCCACCCTACAGAAGGAAACAAAGTGCGGGGCTCGCTCCAACTGCGGTGCTCCCAGCTGGCAGGGCGCAGTGTGTCCCGGGCCTGGCACCTGTGCTGCCCGGACGGATACTCCACGGCCGCAGTCAGCCAGGCTAGGCCGGGAGCTGAGAATACAGGTCCCAGTCACCAGCAGACCCTGTGTGTGCTGGCTCAGAGGCACGGCCTACTTCAGAGCCCTGGCTCAGGGTGTGACTGAACTCGGTCACTGCCCGGCAGCCTCACAAGGATGGGCCGCCTGCTCTCCCGGTGTGACTGCTTCTCTGAGACGCAGGCGTGGTGAACTGCGTTTCCCTCCAGCAGTCTAGGGCTGTTCTTTGTTCTGGTTTCGCAGGACTGGGCGGTGAAGCCTGTCCCCTCAAGCCGAGCTGCATCTCCAGCCTTTTAAAAACATTTTGGGACAGGGTCTCGCTAAGTTGCTAAGTTGCCTAGGGCTGGACTTGAACTTGCGATCTTCCTACCTCAGCCCCCCCCCCCCCCCCACTACTGGGGATGCAGGTATTTGTCCCCACACCTGGCCGGCAGCCCACTGTGTTTATGTATGTTTGTACGTGTATATACATGTATGTATTTCTGCAGGCCCAGGATTGAACTCCAGTCCTTCACACGGAGATACATCACATCCCTGAATTCAATTTTTATTTTGAGGCAGGGTCTTGCCAAGCTGGTCAGGCTGGGCTTGAACTGTTTCCTCCTCCTCCTGCCTCAGCCTCCCAGAGTGCTGGGATTACCAAGCTTGACAATTATTTTTATCCTGTGTTCAACGGCACTACACTAATCTGAATATGTTTTCTTTTGTGGTTTTTTTTGGTACCAGGGATCGAACTTGGGTCCTTGAGCTTGTGCAGCAGGCAGTAAAACCACTGAGCTAAATCCCTGGCCCCCAAATTTATGTTTTAAAAGGTTGTCTCTCTTGATCAAATGGAGTCGGCGACAGAATGCCAGCGTACCTTGGTTGTTTCCTGACTCACACTGTGCCATGGCAGAGGAGCAGCCCTGGGGAGGCGGGCAGGGACCAGCCCCGAGGGGCTGCTCTAACCTCTGTGAACCCTCCAGTCTGACAGCTCCCACGGTACACATGCCACACCCTTCTCCTGGGACGGAACTCGGCTCTGCTGTGGCTGAACAGCCTGGACCCCAAGGTCCCCGGTGCCAGAGTCCAGTGCAGCCTGAGACCACTGCCACCTCAGGAGTGGGCTGCATCTCCAGGACTGATCTGTTCCCAGAGGGCGGTATACAGCAAGGAAGCCCACGCCCCACCTATAGCGTGGCCATCCACCTGCGCCAGGCTGTGGCACGGCAGTGGAAGCAGCACCCATGGGCCCTCCCTGCTTCTTCCTCTCATTCACATTCACAGTGCTGGCTGCAGTCCAGGGCCTCTTGTACGCTAGGCTGGCGCCACCCCGGTACCCTGGCCCCTCCTCTTCTGTGGCATTTCGTCCTAGCAACACAGGGTGGTCCAAGCTGCTGCTGAGGGCCCTGGGGGACTTGTTTTCAATCAGCTCAACAATCCACAGCCCGGACACTACTTCCTAGTGGCTAGGAAAGGCAGGGAAGACTCGGGCCTACCATCCATGATGAACTTGGTGGTGTCCAGCCCAACATAGTCCAGAAGCTCAAAGGGACCCATGGGGTAGCCGGCTCCCAACTTCATGGCCATGTCGATGTCTTCCTTGGACGCGTCACCTGTGGAGAGAAGAGTCCAAGTTCCCTTGTCCAGAGTCGAGTCAGGAGACCCTAGACGCGCACATTCAGTGTCCGTTGGCTAGGCCTCACAGGTGTGTGCTGCACAGGGTGCAGGCTCCTCCCACGGGGACAGGCAGCCAGGCTGGGGCTTCCAGCTCCACACCATCTAACGCTTTAGCAGAGTCCTGATTCCTCACTGGCGGTGAGCCACACCACATCCAGAGCCACAGCCACACCGACCCTCAGCTGGGGCCTTGGGGCAGAGCACCTGCCTCCAGCTCTGGCCCTGGGGTGGATCCCAGCACCATTTAAATAAGGGAGGGAAGGAGGAGGGGGAGGGGAAGAGGAAAAGGGAGGGGCAGGGAGAGGGGAAGGGAAAGGGAAAGAAAGAGAAAAGGAGAAAAGGGGGAGGGAGCAAGCTAGCTGCTGAAAGCCCAAAGCTGACTGAGCCACCACCGCCGAGAGGGCCAGGTGCTTTTCCCTGAACTGTCCCTGTCATGTGCTATCAGAACCACCCCCGTGTCCCTTCTCTGACGCCAGAAATGCGAGGGATCTGCAACAGCGGCGTGGATAATTTAGTTTCAGAGCATAAGGAAGCAGCTAAACACAGCGCTCAGAGGGCTGCACACAGAACCACTGCTCAGACCTCCCGAGGACTCCTTTCACACACAGCACTGACACCCTGCCAAGGAAACGGAGCAGCGAGAGGGGAGCGCTGGCTTTGGGCCTCAGAAAGCGCAGTGATCACTGCTGGGCCTCATGGGGCAGTGCACTGCTTGGCCCATTACTCCACTGCGGGAGGCACCAGGACCAGCCCCCGGGACAGCACAGCGCATATGGAGCTGCTCCAGGACTGAGAGGCGGAGGCCTGGGCTGGAAAGACACTGAGGCCACCCAGCAGGCGCGGACACGGGACAAGGAACGCTGCATGCAGGCTTCCCCACGCACAGCAGGCTCTCGAGGGCATGCAGGCGGCCTAGGGCTCTCCAGCCCCTCGGAGGCTGCAGGCAGCCAGGCCTTACCGTGTCTGGGCATGGAGCCCGACCTCGGTCCAGGCCTCTCCCTTCCTCAGCCGGGCCAGGGCTGCCAGCACTCGGATCCGCACAATGCAAGTCACAGACCACAGCCCGATGCTAATCTCGGGGTCCACACACACAGGCAGCACCACGCAGCAGGACGCAGCTGAGCATGGCGGCTCCGACCTGGCAGCGCTTCGGTGAGGCTTGGGGAGCAGCCCGGCTCACCTGGGGCTGCTCCATCTGCAAAGCGACACCGAGTCACAGAGCACCAGGAAGCGATCAGACAGCTCTGCAGAGTCGGCGCAGCCTACAGCTTCCGCTGTGAGTAACAGGGCAAGCGGGCAGAGCGGCGGGAGAAGGATGCGGGCGGGGAACGGTCACTGCGCCTCGGCTGCAGGCTGCCTACTCCTGAGCCCCTTTGGGGCCAGCTATGCGTCTGAGCATCTGACAGCGCCCCTGAAGCACACACACAGACACTGTCCTCTCCAGCTAAGCACCCCAATCCTACACAACGAGGAACAGCTTCCAGTGGGCCCTGAAACCCATGAGGCCGGGCCAGCCGGGGACCCACCCCGCCGCTTTCTCCTGCAGCTCTCCAGCGCCACCTGCCAGCCGCCCGGGGGCACTGCAGCCGGGGCTCGGGACGTGGGGCATGGGGCGTGGGGCCTGTGCCAAGGGCGAGCTCGCTCCCCACCTAGTGCGCGGTCACAGCTTTGGGACCTGGGAGCACGGTGACCTCTGCATCACGTGGGGCCGGGTGGGGAGCAGGGACATGGCGGGCTTCTCCGCCCTGCGTGACAGCCCAGACCCCAACGGGTACCTCGCTCGTACAGCCGGACCGCCTCCAGCAAGTAGGGCACCAGCAGCCTGTTCACGATGAAGCCGGGGGTGTCCTGCAGCAGACGACGACAGACCGTTCGTTACCCCAGCCCAGCCCGCCTGTGCCGCGCACCTTAGTCCAGTTTTTTAAACCGTGCCCAACACCTCAGTCGCCCCACAGGGGGCGCCCCTCCCCTCTCTCCCCTCCGGAACCAGCTGGACTCCCGGGACAGCACTCAGGGCAGCAGGGAACAGGTCTCCCCTGGCGGAGGTCCCTCGGGCCCGGCCCTGTGAGGACCCCTGCACCCGCAGCCACCCGACCTCGGCAGCAAGGCCACGCACCCCCAGGCGGGACGGGCCTGGACCCCGTCTACAGGGGCGGCTATTCGCTCGTGGGTCTGCACGACACCAGCGACACTGAGATCAACCAAGGCTCCCGGCCTGAGCGGGCTGCACCGGGCGCCCTGGCGGAGTCGCAGGAGCCACAGCGCCCGGTCCCTGTGCGGCAGGCAGGCGGCCCCAACCTCCCTGCCTGTTCTCAGCGGCTCAGGCACACGGGCGTCAACGCCAGCAATCAGCCCACGCGAGTCCTTCCAGGGCGCCAGAACCTGCCGGCCGCCCAGTTAACTCTCCACCCCCAGAGAGGCAGTAGGCGAGCAGCGAGGGGCAAACAGAACCCGGCATGGCGCAGCTTCCCCTGCTGCTCTGTGGGGCAGGGTCAGCCACACCACGGTGACCGCGACAGGAGCTGCTCGCCCCAGACCGGCGCAAGACACTGGTGCAGGCCGCCCGCCCGGCTGGCCGAGCTCCAGGGGCTGAGCCGGGCCTGCAGGTCCTACCCGGCGGGGCTCTGAGTCCCCCCTTGGCCGCTGCCGGGCCGCTCAAGTGTGGCAGGCGAGTCCCACTGGGCAGCACCCGGCAGGAGTTTGGTGGTGCCCGGGTCCCAGACGGCCGGACCCTACCTTGCAGGACACAGGGTGCTTTCCCAGCGTTCTGGCGAAGTCCAGCAGCGACTCGAACGTCCTCTGGCTGGTCATGGGCGTCTTGATGACCTGCAGCAGGGCAGCGTCAGGCCCAGCGCCCTCGGGACCAGACGGCCGGGCTCTGGGACCAGACAGCAGCTGAACACCCTCCTCAGGCCGTGCCCTGCTGCAGGGCGCAGAATCAGGCCTAAGGCACAGGGCAGCGTCCGGGTGGCTCTGCAGGCCCTGCCCAAATCCAGGTTCAAGCCCCGGCTGCCCGGGCACTGTGCAGAGAATAACTGTTACGCACTGGTCCTGTGGGCTCCAAGGGGCGGCGAGGACACCGGACCCCAGTGCCTGCTTCCCCTCCTGCCCTGCACCCCCCACACCCGGGCGCGGAGTCCGGCTGTGCTCTTTCGCTGGCCTCCAGGTGTGGGCACCGAGTCACACCGGCAGGGCAGCCCCAGCCACTCCCAGAATGCACCACCGGGGCCAGGCCTGGGGGAGGGGACTCAGTGAATGTAAACACGTGCACACATGCTCATACAGAAGTAAAGGGCAGCCAATTACTTCCCCCGAAGTCAAGGCGGGTGGGCTGGGCTTCTGCCTCCAACCGCCCACGTACTCTGGCTCAGCCCATCCAGGGCAGCGAATCCGATGCAGCGAGCCCCACCCGGCCCCATGATCACAGCCGCGGATCGACCCAGGGACAGACGCGAAGCAAAAGCAGAACCTGTGGAGCGTGTGCCCAGCTCTCCCGAGGAAGGCTGAGCGGGTCAGAGTCCGCTGTGGACAGCAGGGACCAGGTTCATCCTCCCTTCAGCCCCATGCTCCGGGTCCACCCTCCCAAGGTCCCGAGCGAGGGAGAGGAGCGCGGCCCACTGACCTCCACCAGCTTCATCACGGGCACAGGGTTGAAAAAGTGGAGGCCGGCAAAGCGGTCCTGCCGCGTGGTGGCATTGGCGATGCTGGTGATCTGCAGGGACGACGTGTTGCTGGCAAAGATGGTGTGCCTGCAGGACAGCGGGCTGAGTGCACCGGGCCTGGGGGCGGGAACTCCCACTGCCTCCGTGTCCGGTCCACCGCAGAGGCAGCAGGGCCGCAGCTCAAAGGCGCCGGCGGCCGGCCCTCCAGTGCCAGCCCCAGGTCACAGTGACCTGCTGGGCACAGCTCGCCAACCTCCCTCGCGTGCAGGACAGGCTTGCTGCTGTCCCCTGCAGCCCCAATTCCACGCTTGGAAGGAAAGGGAGGCGGCGGGCCACAGGACAGGCCTGCCGGAGACCGGACTGACAAGAGAACGGTGGACCCGGGACCTGTAGCTAGGTGAAGCCAGCACCTCAGGAGGGGGAGGCTTCCTTTCCAGTTCGTGCAAATTAAAATGAAACGGAAGACACTGCAGCACCCTCGAGAAGTCCGCTAGGGGAGGGAGGCTGGGGCGCAGCGACCCGTTCAAGTACTGCTTACAAAGAGCCGGAAAACGCTGCGCCCTGGACCTCGGGGTGGACAGAACAGTGCCCGCCCGTTAAACCCACCCTGCCTTAAGCCAGGGCTTGGCTTCTCCGGCTCCCAGGCGGACGGCTGGGCTCTCCTGCAGCGCCACTTGGCGGATGGGAGCACACACCAGCCGGCCCAACTCCAGGTTCCAGCCTTCTTGCGGGGTGGGGGGCCCTGCTCCGCCCTGCTCAAGAGAGCCGCCCGAGACAGGGAACGCGTGGTAGGCAGTGTGGCGCCGGGCAGGCAGCCCAGGTCTAGCTGTGAGCTCTGCTGAACAATGGGGCTGGCATGTCTGCAGTGAGCCCCGGGACCTCTGTCCTGCACACACGGCTCGCACCCCTCCTATCTGCGCTTTCTGATGCTCAAGCACCCCCAAATCGCTTTTCATCCTAGAGGTAGCAAAAGCAAACAGCATAGCAGGATAAGGGAGCAGCACAGCCCGGTCCTAGGCTCCTGCCTGCAGAGAGGGGTGCTGGGAACTGGGGACAGCAGAGACGGGCCTCACTGCAGCCCAGCAGGCTTCATCACTGCAGTGTCCTCCCCGAACAGGTCCCACCGGAAGGAGCCCCTAGCAGGAGTCGCCTCGGTAGGTCTGCTCTGAGAAGGCCAGCAGGCTGCTGTGCCAGCACACACCTGCAGTCCCAGCCACCCAGAGGCTGAGGCAGAAGGATCGACTGAGCTCACAAAGCGCCAGTCCAGCATGGACACAGGGCAATCCCGAGCCCCAAGAAGACAACTTGGCCTTCGCAAGTGTTCCATGGGGTAGCGACCGAAACTCAAAGGGGGCGTGTGGGGAGGGTGCCAGCAAGCAGCGAGGCCACGTCTCTGGCTGTGCCCTCCTGCTCTTGAGTCACTGCTTCCTGTGAGCTCCAGCGACAGAGCCTGCACGTGCCCCACAGAGCTGCCAAGGCCTCAGCCCTGCTGACCGGAAGGCCACAGAGCCCTGAACATGGGTCACAGTGCTGGCCCCGCCTCTCAATCCTCTCCCTGTCGCTGTCACCAGAGTGGCTGCCCGCGCAGTACTGCAAAACCCCCAGGGCTGCGCTGAATTCTCCAGGGCGCCCACCGGGTCCTGCGCCCATCCACACAGCATCCCTGTCCTTGTCAGGCGTCTCTGCCACCCCACCGCACTCTGCCCAGCAGTGACACACAGGTGACACGGGCAGGGCTGCACCAGCACCAGGCCCCACTGTGACTCTCCAGCAGGACGACACAAGTGTCCTCTTCAGCCCACTGGCGTCGGCTGAGTCCCCCTTGCCAAAAGCCTTCTCTAACTGAGATGGGTGACAGGTGCACATGGGTCAATGACAGCCGGGTCACACGCTCTCCGAGGCCCTGGACTGGAGCTGAGCTGCTGGCGGTGTGGGCAGCATGAGGCTGCCGCCCCGCAGTAAGCCGGGCAAGGGTGAGCCCCGGTGACGCTCCAAGAGGGTTTCTGCTGAAGCTGGAAAGCGCTCGACACAGCCATTGAGCCCTGGAGCTCTCCACACCACGGGAATGGGGACAGGGTCAGATGGGAGCCTGTGCCCCAGAAGCAAATCGGGAGGGTGGAGGGCAAGGAATGGGCTGGCTCCTCTGGGGGCTGCTGAGGACCCAGGAGGGGCCGGGGGGCCGTGGGCAGGGGTTCGGGGGCCACGTACTCAGCTGCGAACTTGTCCAGCCTCTGGAAGAGCTCGTTCTTCACCTGCAGGTTCTCCACGATGGCCTCCACCACCAGGTCGGTGCTGTGCACCACGGCCACGGCGTCCGTGCTGGTCGTGATGCTGCTCAGGGTCTTGGCCACGAACTCATCGGCAGCCTGAGGCAGCAGGAGGAGGGGCCATCACCTTGGGCCCTGCTGCAGGGCGGGAGGCCTGGCCTGCACACCCAGGGACGCACGGTCAGCCCCCTGCCTTCTCCCAGTTTGCAGACACGCATTTCCTCACCTGTGTTCACAGCACCCTCACTGCCCGCTGGACCAGGTGTGATCAAAACACATGCCGAGTGTTTAAATTAAAATGTTATTACAGTGAAAGACACACTGCCATGAACCCCACTCAAAAGTCCCCCTCCTTTCAGACACACTCATCCCATCGTCCTGGCTGCCTCCTACAGCAGCTCTGGAGGCCTCTTTCCTGAGGGTCTTTAGCTGCACTGTTGTGGCTGCCTCGATGTCCTGAATGGATTCAAAACACTGACCTCTCATGGGCATTCTGACTTTGGGGAAGAGCCAGAGTTGCATGGTACCAGATCCGTGACACACTGTTGTGTTTTCACAAGCCTGCTCGACCTCTGGATGCCATTGGAAGCTGCTTTCACCATACTTTTGATCCCACCTCGCAAAGACACTCAGGAAAGAGGACTTGCAGAGGAGCTTCAGAGCAGCAAAAAGGATGGATGAGTGTGTGCAAACCAGGACTGTGAGGGCATCCGTGGTGCTTCTGACCCTGCTTCTGCTCCGGAAGTGGACTCCTCGCCTAGGCGCCCCTCCTCCATCCCAGGGCGCGACCAGACACTGCTGGGCACCGGAAGTTCCTCTAGATATCTCACTATTTTGTGGGTGCCTTGCTAACACACAGGTCTCTTCCTCTATCTCCCTTTCCCCTCCTCTTGGAAATCGGTGTTGCTCCACCCCAAGCTCTCAGTGCTCTTCTGGTATGGGTTTGTCGCCTGCAGAAAGAAACTTTCTCCTTGACCTCAAATCCTTTACTTCTTTTTTTTTTTTTTTTTTGGTACCAGGGATTGAACTCGGGACCTTGCACTTGCAAGGCAGGCACCAGAACCACTGAGCTAAATCCCTGGCAAATCCTTTACTTCTGCTTCCTGACCTGCCCGATGCTGGTGACACTGTAGCAGCCTACAGTCACAGGGAAATGAGTTTTCCGCAAACTTGAAGCCCATGCACACACATGGGGTTAAGCAAGGCCAGAAGCCTCACGAACACGAAAGGTCAGAGGACTGGGCCCAGGGTGTCGGGGTGGGACCGACCTTGGGGTTTTCTGCAAACTTCTTCTTTGCCACCTTCCTCAGGCTGTCCTCGATCCCCTTTCTGGACCTGGCCAGGATGTCCTCGGTTTGGTCCACCAACACCACTGTGTGGCCAGTGGCTGCAGCAACCTAGAGCAAAAGGGGAAAAAGAATGGCTTTGTAAAAGAAGGAAAGGGAAAGCAAAAAGAAAAGCCTCATTCCATGAGAATCCCACCACCCTTCCAGCAGAGCAGGACTGTGAAGGGTAAGCTGACATCCCACACACTTCCGGCCGAGCAGGCCTGTGACCCTGCCGTGGAAGCGAGCAGCCTTCATGGCCTGGAGAAGGCAAGGACTCCCCACGGCCAGACGGCAGGTGGAGGCAAACCCTTCCTGCGGCAACTCGGAGTGCTCTAAGCCCACGCCGTCCACCCCGCAGGCCCTGCTGCATGCGGCTGCTCAGCAAAGGGACACGGTGACCAGCCCCTCCGCCAGCCCTGCCCACTCCGACCTCTCCCTCAGAGCCGGAGCCCCGGGTCCACCCGGCCCTGGTCTCGGGCATCCCCCCTCAGAAGCAGACACTGTCACAGGGCAGGAGAGGACCCTGTCTCCACGGCCAGGGACAGGGTCTCCCTATCACCGCAGCACACAGGGCCACCAGGTCCCCTAGGGACAAGCGCGAGTGGGGTGGCGCAAGGCCCAGAGGACACCGGGCGCCACCACCGTGGAGAGCTTGCACCGCTGAGGGGCTGGGGACCCGCTGGGTGCCAGTCACTGCAGCAGGCGGCCCAGAGAGGAACCCACAGAGAAAGCAAGAGCAATGCCTCAAAGGAGGCGGCTCCAGCTCCCCAGACAAGATTCCTATGTCAGTCGGTCCCGGGCCCCGTCACCACACCCTGGACACGGCTGCGTCGCCTGCGGGGCCCTGGGGGCTGGCGGGACAGGGCCACTCAGAGCAGGGCGGAGGGGTGGACTCGGACCCAACAGGCCGGGCAGGGGCCTGGGACTCACACAGCAGGGTGGCTGGCGCCCACCGTGCCCAGATGCCACGCACCTGCACCCACTGCTCATGGACCTGTGCAGCTGGCCACCTGGCCCTACCGAGGGTCGAAGGGCGCGGGCAGAGGTGCCTCACCGACCACCCCGAGAGCCCAGATGCTGTGAGGCTGTGCGTCCTGCCAGCCCCGGGAGGGGGCCCTCCTTGCACCTCAGACCCGCCTGCTTCTGCCTCGCCTCCTCCTGACTCGGGCTGACTGCGCGCTGGGGCCTGTCTGGGACCCACCATACCTGGGGGACCCCAACACGGACACGAAGAAACTCAGACTCCAGCTGCAGCAGGTGAGGAAATGGACCTGCTCCGGGGTGGGCAGCAGGGGAGAAGGTGACAGAGGGTGACGTTGCCAAGGGGGACATTACCCGCCAGGCAGGGGCGGGCAGAGGCCACTGTGGGGACTTTTCTCCACCCTCTGCCCCGGCCATACCTGTTGGTCTGAGCAGTGAGAAGCCCGCATCCCCTCCCAGCCCGTTCCAAACCCTCCCTCTGGCACCCACACACAGCTCCTCACCTCGGAGGAGTCGAGATTTAGGCACACCTGGCACAGAATGGTGGACAGCTTGGGGACAGGGACAACAGGGGCCGTCCTTCTCTTAGGGAGCTCGAACCCACTGAGACAGCAGAGCAGAAAGAGCTCATGGCTCGCCAGGCAGGAAGCAGAGCAGGGACCAAGAGAGGAGTCACCTCTCCCAGCAGGCTTCGCCTCTCAACATCTCAGCCAGCCAGAAACCCAGCAGCGGCTGGACCCAGTGCCACACGCCCACAACTGTCACCTCCCAGAGCCACAGCATCCTCTCTCCCGAGTGTCTATTTGTGCTGACCCAGCCGTCCTGATGTCCCAAACAGATTCAAAACATTGACTTTTTATGGTCATTTTGACTTCGGGGAGGAGCCAGAACTCACACAGGGCCAGAAAGACAACTTCTAGAACTGCGTCCAAAAGTGGCCTGCCTGATGGGGTGTGTTCAAAGTGAGCAGGAGCCTTGAGGATTAACGGCAATGCGCCTTTCACTGTGATAACTCAAGTATTCACTGTTCATCTCGATCACCCCTTGTCTTTCCTTTTCTTTTTGGTACCGGGGATCGAACTCAGGACCTTGGCTTGTGAGGCAGGTGGCAGAACCACTGAGCTAAACCCCCGGCCTTGCCCCTTGTGTCTTCTTATTGTTCCCCTTCCAATTTTCATTTTCAGGTTTTCTTTCCTACATCCTTCCATTTTCACCAACAGGCCCGCACCTTGTCCACTGTAAAGGGAGGAAGGAGAAAGGGGGTTGAGGGTGTATTCGTCACTTTCTCGATGCTAGGACAAAATCGCCAACACCCACAACTTAGAGGAGGAGGAGGAGGTCCCATGCAGAACTGGCTGGCTCCTAGGCACCATCAGCAGGGTGGGACAGCACTGCAGGGGACAGCTGTCACCCCAAGACAGCCCGGAGCAGAGAGAAGCAGGCCCGGGAGAGCAGCACACCCTGCCAGCACGCCCTGGTGCCCCCTCCAGCCAGGCGCTGCCTCCCGAGGCACATCCGACCCTGCGCGTCTCAGCAGAGGGGTCCACTGGGAGCGTGGCACCCCCACGCCCCAGCACCTCCCAGAGGCAACCTCTGCACACGAGCCCTCCGGGACACTGTAGATCCAAACCGAGGGGGACTTCCTGAGCTATGTGAAGCTGGCTCTGGCCTCACCATCAATGTCCTTCCATGACGGCAGCATGACAGTATGTGGAGGAACAAGTTGTAGAACTGGACTTCTAGGCTGAAATCATCACTCTAGGTTTTGCACGGGACTGCAGATGTGCTGGGACCAAGAGGTGAGCCTAAGCAATAAATAAGCCATGAGCACTCCTCCCGCATGGAAGGGGCGAGGTGCCTCGCCAGAGCGAGAGGAGTCTGTCCACCTTCCACAGCCTCTACGTGACAACACAGGGTCCCTGCCTCAGGAGGACACACGAGAAGACCTCATGAGACACCAGATGCTGGCGCCCTGACCCTGACTTCCCAGCCCCCGGAACTGTGACCTTCTAGGTTACCTCGTCCCGGGTACTACAGCCACACAGAGCCAACCGAGGCACTGCCTGGCCAGCCACTACCTGTGAGTCTGGTCAGGGCTGACAACAACACTGTCTCAGGGCACTGTGAGGTCACCGGGGGGTCTGGGAAGGTCCCCAAAGGAGGTGGGGCCTCATCTCAGCCCGGGAAGGCTCTTGCCTGCGCTTCAGGAAGTTCAGTCTGGGGAGGCAGATCAGCCAGGCGGGATCAAAGCTGCACTGAGTCCAGGAGCTCCAGGGGAGGCTCACTAGGCTCTGGGGCCGGGGGTACTCATGTGCTGGCGCACTCAAGATGGGCGAACCGGATGTCACTGTTTACGTCGTGCCCGTCAGGTTACCCACTAGTGGGCTCAAGCAGAACCTGACTTCACCAGCCAGGTTAAAACGCATGCATTTGAAGTTTACAGAGACGGTGCCAATTTCTTTGAGGGTTGAAGTGCACAAAATCTGTGGGTTTACAGTGGTGGATGTATGGACTCCCTGTGTCTTTACGACTCAGGAATTGGTGCGTGAGGCCCTGGAAGAAAGTGAGGCCCTGAAAGAAAGTGAGGCCCAACCGCGTCACAGCTCCACCCCGCCGGTGTCCTTGTCTCTGTTCAGGCCCCCCCAGCCCCAGTTCTTCCGTCCTGCCTCAGTGAGGGTTGAAGACGTTAACGCACTAGGGCGGGGTGCAGCTCCATGGCAGAGCATGGGCTGGGCTGGGTTTAATGCCCAATACCGAAAAGTAAAAGTAAAAGGAGGAGGCAGAACAGGAAGAGCAAGAAAAACTGAACTCGGTGAAAGTGCTCAGACCAAGGAGGGGCACCTGGAAGGTACTGAAACTGCCACCACTGCTGTGCTCTACACCCGGCCACTCGGCCTTAACCTAGGAAGATGGCGGCTGCCGCAGTCTGTGCAGCTGTGAGGTGATGCCACCAAGGGGTGCTCGTAAATGGGAACTTCATTTCCTGCAATTCTAAAGGCACGGGGGCGGGGCGGGGGGTTCCCATCTGGAGAGGGCCTTGCCCTTCGTCAGGGAGGGCCCTGGAGGGATGGGACCAGGTCCTCAGATGGCAGAGGGACAGCAGCCGTCTATAGGCACTAACCCTTTCAAAAGGCAGGGTCCTACTGCCCATCTCTTCCTACAGACCCCTTATACTGCTGCCCTGCGCGATGTCACTTGAGTTTTCATCTAATTTGTGCTGCTGGACTTCAAATTCCCTCATGGCAGAAACAGACTTGGGGGCCAGGATGTAGCTCAGTGGTTCCTCGCCTGCCTGGCAAGTGAAAGGTCCCGAGTTCGACTCCCAGGACCAGGGGAAAAAAAAGAATCAGATGTGGACTTGCATCCTCAAGGATGTCATGTGCCTTGCACACTGACTGCTGATGACAGGCACACAGCGACCCCGGGCTGGATCCTTCCCAGACACTGCTGTCCCTGCTCCCCGCTGCACTCAGGAACAGCTCACCTTTGCGACCCAACACATCTCTCCCTCAGTCACAGCCTTCTCCAACATCTGCAGAGTCCCGCATACCTCCACTGACACACAGGCGGAGCAGGCCTTTTGTGTAGGACTTGAATAAAAGGGCAAGTGCTGAACTGACAAGAGCTACCAGCTGCCGTTACCGAACAGCAGCCCAGCCTCTGGGTATTAATGCAAAAAGGAACTGACTTCGGGCCACCTCAGTAACACTGTCACAGATGTGGCCGGTAACACCCGGAACAGTGGAGAAATTTCAAATACAGAAGATGAAGAATAAATGGGAAGGGGGATTTCACTGACACCAACTTTGGATTAGAAACTCAATACTTCAGGACCTTTCTGAAACACCTGTTGCGTCATCTACTTCTTCAGGTTCTGAAGCTGCTGTCACTGCAAATGCCAATCAAGGGTGGCTCTGGCACACACCTGTCCACACATGCGTAAATGCTGTGTAGCACATACATTGCACACATCAATCCTGTGGCGCACACTTTGTAATGGCCTTTTCCTAGACCCTAAGAAATAGATCCCATCTGTTACATCACCTCCTAGTGTCCAGAGCCTTCCCTTAGCTGGGGACAGAAATCAGTGGTGCAGCTTGCCTAGCATGTGCAGGGCCCTGGGTTCAAGCTCTAGTGCCACCAAAAAAATCCAAAAAGTTACCTTAAGGTGGCATCGCTCAGTTGCTCATCCTGCATCCTGGAGGCGACAGCAGGTGGGCAGCGAGCTGTCTGTCCCCCTAGACAGGGGCTTCTCCAGAGCAGCGGCCACCTTACCCCACCCCAGTGCCGAGCACAGACACACTTCACACTCGCGAAATGAACACACGGTGACACTGCTGCTCTTTGAAAGCTTCAACCTGTAAACTATTTTAGAAATAAGTTTCAAGAAATTACTGGTTTTGTTGCTAGAAACCCTATGTAATAAGCTTTTTTTTTTTGGTACCGAGGATCGAACTCGGGTCCATGCGCTTGTGAGGCAGGCAGCAGAACCACTGAGCTAAATCCCCGGCCCTGTGATAAGCTTTATATAAACTTTAAGTTATGTTAAGATTATGAGAAATTGTATTAATAGTTTGAAAAGGATAATGAAAAAAAAGAGAGCTACTAGCAGGTGCTTGAGTCAATTATTAGGTGGAAGAAATGTGGTCCAGAAGCCTCCGTTACTTTCAACTACGGCTTTCTGGCACCAGAGGCTGGAACGCTGGCCCGGGGAGCCCGAGGGCAGCACCACATGCGGCTGGGGAGAAATCAACATCCTTACGCGAACGGACTTGTGTTTGATTCACCCAGCACCTACATGTGTCTCGGCCCTCTGGGCAAAGCCGGGGACAAGCGACCCCGTGTCTGCCGTCTTGGGGCTCAGATCACGCACGGCCAGATGCAGGCGCAGCCCCTCCCACACAGGCTGCCCTGTCCACCCAGCCCCTCCACCACCAAGGCTCGGTTCAGGGTCAGCCAGGGTGGTTCTCCTGCCGGGCTGACATCACAGCCACCCGTTTTTAGGGATCCCACGGTGGGGGCCTTCAGCCTTTATGATCATGAAACCCTTCTCCACAGGAAGGCACAGAAGAGACCCACGCATAAACACAAAGGTAGACAGCAAGGGGGCCAGTCGGGGCCTCATGGAATCACAGCACAGCGTGGGAACCTGTGTCACACCTGGCAGAACGGTCACCGCATAAAGCAAGACAAGCACGTTGTGGCGGGGATATGGAGAAATATGAACACTCGTGTACTGCCTAAGGGATGTGAATGGAAATTCTTCAAAAACCTAG